TATATATATATATAGGAATTTCCTATGTGTATGTATGTGTATATGTCAGTGTATATGTGTATATGTGTATATGCCACAAATGATATTCATGCTCTTTTTCAGGTGATCCAGAAAGTTTGATAGAATCACTACAAACTGGTGGAATACTTGTTACTTCTTACAATGGAGTCCTCAGACACAAAGATTTACTTGTATCTAGTCAATGGCATTATGTTATTCTTGATGAAGGCCACAAGATTCGTAATCCGCAAGCAAAGGTAATTGGTCATTAAAAATTGGGGGAGATTATTCCATTTTCACTTTTTATATTTAAACAATTACTTTGCAGGTGAGCCGAGCAGTGAAGTGGTTCTCGACACCACATCGATTGCTACTGACCGGTAGTCCAATGCAGAATTCTTTGAAGGAACTGTGGTCCTTGTTTGATTTCATCTTACCTGGCAAATTAGGAACTCTGCCTGTATTTTTGGAACATTGTGCAGCTCCCATAACGCGCGGCGGTTACGCAAACGCCACTCCATTGCAGGAAGCTACGGCCCTTCACGTGGCCACTATGCTAAAGAACACTATCACACCATACATGCTCCGAAGAACGAAGATCGATGTGAAGCATCATCTCTCTTTACCGGAGAAAAATGAACAGGTTTTTATTTTTATAGAAAATATTGTTTTTTCATTTCTTTTATTTTTATCTTTCCGAATATTTCTTCTTATTGATGAGAATACAATTTGACAAAACGCAATATATTTTCTATAGGTGTTATTCTGTAGCTTAACGGATGAGCAAAAGAAGCTGTATAAAAAATATCTATGTTCTGATGATGTGTCCTTTATTCTTCATGAGAGGAACGACAGCGGAAGATACAGAGCAAGGTTTCTTATCGCGTTGTCAGCATTGAGAAAGATATGCAATCATCCGGATCTGTTTTTGTATACCAGAGAACTAGTAAGTTCGCAGATTAATGTAATAACAGTTAATTTATGAGATTGTGAATCTCCTCCTTTTTTCTTTTGAGGACTCCGATGAAGATGTCGATTTATCCGAAGAAAAGTTAGAGAAATTTGGCTATTGGAAACGTGCTGGAAAAATGACAGTGGTTCGATCTCTCTTAAAAATTTGGCAGAAACAAGGGCATAGAGTGTTACTTTTTACTCAGGGAAGACAGGTAAATTTTTTTATTTTTAAAACATTAAAATATATTGATATTAGATATTCTAATTATTGGAATTCGTAAAATAAAAGAATTATTATATTTATATTTTTTCATAGATGATGCATATTTTAGAAGCTCTCTTGCAACGCGAAGGGTACACTTATTTAAAAATGGACGGGACAACAGCAATGTCTCAACGGCAGGAAACGATTCACACATTTAACAAGGTGCATATTTTAATTATTTGGAAGATTTATTATAAGGATAATATTTTTGAAAAATTTATTTTTTTCTAAGGACATGTCATACTTTGTATTTTTATTAACAACGCGCGTGGGAGGTTTGGGAGTAAATCTAACTGGTGCAAATCGAGTGATCATTTACGATCCTGACTGGAATCCAGCCACAGATGCTCAAGCAAGGGAACGTGCGTGGAGAATCGGACAGGATAAGCAAGTCACCATATATAGATTAATTACCGCTGGTACGATCGAAGAAAAGGTAACAGCAGATTATTTATATTCTACTGAATTTTACTGATAAAATCTCACATGAATTACGGAATATATTACAAGAAAATATTTAATCGTACAATTTTAATGATAGCCATCTTTTCTCTTTTTAGATATATCACAGACAGATCTTCAAATTACTACTTTCAAACAAAGTTCTTGATGATCCACGTCAACGTCATCTATTCAAAACATCGGATCTGGTTGAACTGTTTAATCTGAACGAACCGATAGACGGTGAATCTTCTGAATCAGATCGCTTATTTAAAGAATCTAAATTGACACCTAGCGGTTTTTCTCTTAGCAAGATCGAAGAAATGAGAAAGTTAGCGTCGACTCTGAGTAAGAAAATAAGCGCAACTGTAAAATCAGTGCAGGAAAATAAAAATGCAGACAACAGCACTTGCGAGGAAAAACGTGACGAACAAGACAGTTCGAAATGCATCGAAGTTCTCAATACAGAAAATGATAAATTTGTGGATCAAACATTAATTTCCGATCAAATGTTAATTTCTGATACACCAAAATCTTTAGACAAATGTGATAAAGATGTCGATAAGAATTCCAATATCGAAAGAAACAGCAACATACAAAATAAAGACACATATAAACAGAATCATTGTGAACAGGAGAAAACAACTTCAATGAAATCTTTAAATAACAATTCTGTGGAAAAGAAAAATAAATTTGATCGGAATGACACTAAGTTATCATCTACTCATAGACACAAAAAGTGCAAAAAAGATTCACATTTGGACAGGAGAAACATTTCCGCAATGTTTGAGGGAGAACGTATATCTTGTCTGATCGGTCGTCGTCTGGGACGTTCCAATGAAACAGAAGATTCAGTTTCAACTGCAGATGATGACTATGTGCTGAGGAAACTATTTGCTAAATCAAGTAAATTAATATATTCATATTTTTTATTAGATTAGACTTTAATATTATAGAATAGTTTCTCTATATATCATTGTAAAAAAATTCTTTTAGCTGTCAGTTCGGCCTTTCAACATGAAGCAGTATTATCAAATGCACATCATAATAGTGACAGTGAGAATGCGATGCAACGTTTTGCGCGTGAATCGGCGCAGGAAAGTATGGATTTTGTTCATCAATCAGGGAAACATTGCTGGAGACCAGCGTAGAATAAATGATATATTTGTAATTATAACTTTGTACATTTATTTTTTTTTTATAAAAACTTAATATATCTAGGATTATAACATTTTTATATCTGAAAAAAATTAACTATAAGACAAATATATTAGTTTGGAATATAAGATTTAGGTCTTTTTTTTGTGTACATTTTGCTCAATATAATAACAGAATACAATTTTGATAGAAAATCTTTTTAATTATAAATTGTTTTTTATAATTACATTCCTGCATACAAAAACGTATTTTATTATAGAAAAATAAATTATCAGTACAGCTTCATACGTGCTTTATACAAAATGTATTTATTCATTTTTTTTATATAGTTCAAATTGTATAAAGTATATATTTAAGCATATAAATATGCACATATAGATTTTTATCATTGCTGATTTAAAAAAAAAATTATAAAAACTTAATAATTATATATATAATTTTTTATTTAGAGTTGAATGTGAAATAGCACGTATTGCATATAAAGGACAGAAATGAATCAAGAACAAATATCTTAAACAAAAATTATAGTACAAAAGTCTTATGTTTCTTGATAATAAGATTATCAAGTAACATTCAACTTATTAGATGTGTATTAGATGTTACAATAAAAATAAATACATCAATGTCGCAAAAATCTGTCGAGATTAGGTCCAGATTTGCCTAATGGATCTTCTGGGAACATAATGTAATCTCCGACAAACGTAGGCGTCAATAAACGGTTTAAAATTGTATTACGCCACTCCGGTTTCTCTTTGTATAAATCTCTATATTGATCTGAGGAAATCACTATTCCGTCGCACGTCGTCGCATATTCCAAGATATATCTGTGATAAAAGTAAGCATTGAGATTTAGTTTATTACGTTTTCCAAGTGTTTTAATATATAAAATAAATTTTTATATTTTCATATAAACAATTAAAGTAATTAATATAAATAATATTTAATAATATTTAAAAGAAAAACTTATTGTCACTTACTACATATTTTGCTACGATTAAGAAAATATAATATGAAAAATTGAGATGAAAAATTATTTTACGTAAAGTATAAGTACTGAAGGAGAGAGATAGAAAAACATCAATAATTTATATTGTAAACAAATGTGTTTGTGTATGCAATGTTTAGTATTACATACTGTTACACAGAACAAAATATTTTATTATGTAAATAATTTCTATTTTATACTAAACAATATATATTCTATTTATATATAACAAAAACGAGACGTTATACCGGTCGTCATAAGGTGTAATTTGTCTACCAGCGATGTAGCGACTAGGTGTGAAAACGACAATTCCTTCTCTATATAACTGTTCGAGAAACTTAAATTCCCTTTTTCGAACGTGCTGTGGCAAGAAAACTTTCACAGTATGACCTCTCGACATAAAATAATTTACCACTATTTCAATACCTTTTTCTGAGAATGAGTTACCGTTTGTATGGCTAAAATGTGAAGCAATATATCACCAGTTGCTTAAATAAAAATCTAAATGAAATATATCATAATTTTTTACAATTTTGCAAATATATCTAGTCAGTCAATTATTAACATTATTAACATTTTAAGAAAATCCATTGATAATATACGTGATTTAAAATAAATAGGATCGTACCCCATTGCCACATTGCAACCATCGACAACTATTTCTCTTAATCTATGTTTCGATCTTGTGCTACTCTTCTCTCCAGAATTGATTTTTTTGCTACAGTGTCCATTTGACTCTGTTAGAGTTGAATTTAGCTCATCGTCATATTGTTTTTTTTTATAACTGCTAGTCAAATGTTTTGATATCCTTTGATTAGATTCCAGTATAGATTCATCAAGTGTAGTTTTATTATAAAACTTCTTTTTTTCTTTTTTTCTTTCTTCTTCACTTCTCTTTTATCTATTTTCAGAAGCTCGAGATATTCCAGATTTGGCCTTTTGTCTATCACATATGATACACTTGTCTTACTGCGCTTACGTTTTCCACTTGTCTTACTTTTACTTGGTAATTTTTGTACACATGACCATAGTTCGACTACATCATCTTCTGTTCGTGATGGTGCTAGATATGACAAGTACTATTTTAGAATAGTATTAAATTAAAATATATTCCTCTGTTAATCTCTCTCATAAAAAGAAATGAACAGAATCAGCTCACCTATGTTCTCCCTGCACAATTCAGACTCTTGCACATCTGACAAATTGATGATGGACAAATCATTATCCAGTGGTATTATGGATGGTCTATTGTTGTTATGGTTGGGAGTCTTTGATACATTACTCCGAAGCTTTTTTGATACAGGTGTGTATGGTGTTGAGTTGCACTCAATAATGCTGAGTGAGGTATCTTCTTTATTATTAACATTTGTTTCATCGTCGCCTTTGTTCCCATCATTTGTTTCACTGTCACTGTCATTGATAACAATTACACTATCTGGTGACGAAGAATCTCGGGAGTCCACCGCGTTTTGCTGATTCAATTTTTGCAGCATTCCACGCGTTAATCTCATATTGTGCTTCAACAATCTGATTGATATAACAATCATTAGTGTTTAGGCATTACTTGATAAAATCGGATCATTATCTTTTCTTAAAGCTATTACAGAATTTCATAACAATACCTCAATGTCTCTTTGTTTTTTCTTTTCTATTTTATTAGATTGTGTATCCCTTATCGTAAGGATTATGTGCGATGATTCATATTGAGAGAAAACAATATTAAATGCACCCGATGCTTTTCTGCAAAAAAAAATAATTCAACATACGTCATTATTACATCATTATCTGTCCTTGTTTGAGATTTGATAAGAACGGTGTCAATAGTGTTTTCAATTGTATGTTTTAATCGCACTTTCTGCACTCTACTGCTTTCGTTTTTGTTTTTCCAATGCCCGCATTCTATGCTTATCTCACTTTAGATGCAGCAAGTGCAGTATGTTTTCGCGACCAAAACCTATAAGGTGGTTCCAGAATCGTTCACTGAACATTTAGTGGACTTTCGTATCCGAGTTAATACATACTCTTTTATATCTAAAATTAAGCGCTCAGTGAGCGATGTTAAGTGTCTCTGGATGTATCCATCGTACTCACTGAAAAATTCCTAATATTATCGATATAAATGAACGATTGAATCGCAACGCGCAATATGATCAAACGGGACATTTCTTACGATTTATTTATACTACATTCGCTATACTACATTCATAGCGAGCGATGTTTGAAATTTTTTCCATTGGACTAATTAATCAGAAAATGTTTTATTGAATTGACCAATTAACGACGTTAATTGGACCCCACTGAAATTTTTTTTTCTGAGTCATTCTGAGTCTTCTTAGTCAATCGAAGTTTTAAGATTAATATTTGTAGCGCTGAATGAATTACGGCTATGGTAAGCTACTGTTTCTCAAATTTTTGTGAATTCTACAAGCATTATTTACAAACTATTCGGTAATGTTTTTAAAAAAAAGTCAAATTTAAAAAAAATATAAATATATAAAATAATATATATAAATATATAAAATATAAATATTATTTTCATTATCTCTTCTTAATACTTATTGAACATTTAATTTAAGTAATATTAAAATAAGAAACTCTATTGAAATGATTTTAGTAATATAATCTATTTATTTAATAAAAATTTGAAGGAAAATAGAAAAAGATAAATTGAACCGAGATTAAAATTATAGAACAACAGAAATAAACATTCGTAAAATGTTTATACGTTTCTTAATGCGGCTCAAAACTTTTGTGACGGATGGTAAAATGTAATCGAATAATGATAAATTGAGACACCCCCCAGGGGGTGCTGATGGCGCGAGTCAATAAAGAAGCGAAGCGCACCAGACGGGCGGTGCTCGCGGAGTTTTCGCTGGTTGACAGACGGTCGTTGTGAGGCGACGACGTGCGGCGCGATGAGTTTGACAGTGTCGATGACGCTCGAGTGACGCGCATTTCTTTCTCCGCCTCTCCTATCCCCCTCTGCGCGTCTTGGAATCGAATAAAAAACACGAGAGTGACTGATTCGTCGAGATCGAGGGAGATGCGTTCAAGGAGAATCCCGTGACGAAAACGGGATCTCGCCAAGCATTTTAGGAGCATTATTATGGCAGAATGGACGAACGTAAATTGCTGCCGTTGCTGATACTCTTCCTGGCAGGTAAGGACTTGTGCTGTGCGGTAAGGATGGACGAGAGAGAAAGAGGCAGGAAGGAAGAAGAGACACGCTTCCGTCCGGGGAACAATGCCGCGATTCATATCCGACGATCATGCGATCCGTCGCCGGCTATAGTGCATGCATGTACAAACGATCGTTACGATTCAGGGTCGAGTTATGTAAAGAGGCTATCTCGTCGCTCCGTTGCTTCGCACCATTTCTATTGCTATCGCCGTCTGCGTCACTTGCTCCTGCATTAATGACAGAATGCGTATAGATCCGTAGAAACCACCTGCTGACACAATTCATTGCGATTCATTGTTTCGTTTCTTGATTTTTTTAACAGCATTTTTACAATAATGCATTTTGGTTGATTTGTTGCATTAAAATTTGTTTATCAGTTATTCAGATTATCTAGAAATTCAACAGAATACTAAAAATTAATAGTGATTGTTAATAAATTTATAAAAAAAATTAATCAAGTATTTTTGAACTTGTAGGATGGCAGGAAGCAGTGGCCGTGGTACCGATGCGGCATGTTGCAGTGGACGTGGGTAAAGATCTGAAATTGGCCTGTGCCGACGAAAGTGCCCTTTCACATTTTGAAGAGTCCAGTGTGATGTGGATAAGAGAGGGACGAGAGGATGAACAAATCAGTCGACTGAAAGTTGAACCGAATGGTGTGTTGGAGCTATTAAACGTCAGCGTGGATGACGCCGGAAATTATTCATGTACTTTGGATGGTGAACTCGCTGCTAGGATCAACGTGGAAGTCAGGAGTATGTTCTGTAACAATTTATAATGGGATGTAACAGATAGCATTTTAAGTCTTAAATATAGAAATACAGATGTTTCAGAAAAAAATTAATCACAACTTGTATGAAGTTTATTAGATATTTAAGAAATATTTCAGTAATTTAAAGATTTCAGGTAAAATATAGTACGTCTTTTACTAATCGAATTTTAGAGTGAGAATCACTCTGTATGTTCCACTTAAGGATATAGATTTTATTTAATAATTTCTTCTTTGTGTCTTTAGCACCTCCTCCAGCTCTACACAATGTTTGGGTCAAGCCATCCACGATATTGGCCAACATTCTCTGGGAAGTGGCTGGCACTGGCGGATACCCTATCATAGACTTCACTGCCGAATATCGTTTGAAACCAGTCGCAGGCGAAGAACCGGAAGATTGGAAACCTATTACTCCAACACATATTCCTCCAAATTCTGTAAATATCAATCAATCTCGAGATTGTTGAATGGGGATGTTGAAAAATGTAAAAGCATAACGCTAACTTGATAATGTTATATTGTGTTAATAATGTTATTATAACAACAAATATATTACAATTATGTAATATATTTGTTGTTATAATAATATTTAACGTAATATGTTTTATAACATATTTGCTCCAGTTGTAACTATTTGTTGGATTATATGAGAAACCATATTTTGTATAATGTTATAAAGTTATTTCACATCCCTTATATAAAGGAAGATGAATTGAGTTGGAATTAACGATTGTTTTGTTACTTTAAAGAGACAAATAGATGTGTATCATTTGGTGCCAAACACTACGTACTCGTTTCGAGTGTGGGCAACCAATCAGCTGGGAAAAGGAGAGGTCGTGGAAGTCGAGGGTCACACACATTACAGTGTAGAAGAATTGGGTATTTTATTGCAATTGCTATTATATATAATTATTCGCGATTTGATGTATATAGAGATCTGTCACTGGGATAAGATTCAATACTATATACAGATCTATCATCATAAAAAGAGTTAAACTAATAATAATAATATAACTTTTTTTATTAAACTTATTTGAATATAGGTGTTTATAATATCGAGTTAATGAAATTCAAAATTTGAAGAATTTACAAATATTTGTAATTTCAGCTAATTGAACAACTTGAACAGTCACATATCCTTTTGGCATTTCCTACATACATATGTATAACGTATATTTCCCATAGAAATTGTAAAATGTATTTTTCTAAAATTTTCTTAAAATATTTCTTGTACAGTATCTAAGCTAAGACTAACACAACTTTATGCGACGTAACTAATTTTCAGAGCTCGCCCGACATCTTTTAGCCGGCGTAGAGAATTTCGATACGCGCGTCTGGGTGGCAGCCGTAGGTATTGTGATGGGCACACTTATGATTCTCGGTTTAGGTACTTGTTACCTACTGTATCGCGAGTGCAAGGCACCCTGTAAGCATCCTATCTGATAACCATATCGTAAGAGCTTTCGCTTCTACTCTGTCTCTTTACTGCTGCTACTATTTACTACTACTATTACTTCTTTCCGCTGGCGGCAATCATAACATTCATGGCCTCTCTAATAAGCACGATGCTCGAGAAGATTGTTCTTTCTCTCTATAGAAACCTTCGCGCAAGTTAGAAGAACATATGTACATCACTCATTTAACAAACAACAAGACCTGTTAGCATCTTAGCCGGCTAGCTGACTTACTCTATGGCCCTGATCTTTGGCTTTTCTCTGTTACGTGACAGTCATGTCTTTCGAAATTATTGATACTTGTCTACTTTTATAATATATCGTTTCTTTATATTCTAAGCACGATGCAAATTTATTAAATTCAACATTTACAAGTACGACAGCAATTTAATAAAAATTTCATTTCTCACCAATTATATATTAATATGACACTCTTCAAATAAACGCACCGAACACTGACAACGTGCACACAAATAATCTATTGATATTTTTATCTTTTATGATATATATATGGCACTTATTGGAATGAAATCTCGAACTTCTCGGTAGAGTTTCCCTGCCGCAGATTTACTTATCTGGTTAATGAATCTTTTTGAATACGAATATTTTCTCTTATTATTCCGATTAGATGTTATTTATGCTGTACATATTATTAACGAGCCTGCCTATAATGATTTAGTGATGATGATAATGATGATGATGATGATGATGATGATGAATGAATAGTAAATATCATGATAGTCATAGAAAGTATTATGTAGTTAAGTAATAATAAGATAATAATCTTCGGCAATATCGAGGTAGGTAGGTCAAAGGTAGCAGGTTCATTTGTCAGGCAAACGGCATTTCGATTGGCATCAGAATTTGCAATCAACAAATTTATTAATAACCAGAAATATTAGGGAAATGATAACCGACACGAAATTCTGAGATGTAAATGTTTCTCGATCCCAGACCTGACAAAGAAAAACCGGTGAAGGGAGAGAGTAGAAGCTAATGAGACCCGTGGCCTAGACTAATGAAAATTAATCTCCGTTCCGAAATTGCAGCGCAGCTGGAGGAGCAGGAGGTGATTGAGCTCGTGCCCAACATCATTCTGAACCCGGGATTTTTCGACGAGCGCACCGAGCATGTACCGCAAGACGAGAATTTCAACAATCAGACGACTACGCGCCTTAACAACAACAGCGTCGTGCAACCTAGACGGCTTTAGCGTTTTTTGTTTAGCTTAGACCTGCTCCGCTCTAAAGTGAGTGAATTGGACGCAGTTTTCCACGTCACGTCGAACGTAAGTAACCGAATTTATCGGAAAGGCCTCGAGTTTGTCTAAAAATATAAAAAAGAAGAAGAAAAAGAAAATGAACGATAATTGACAAAATCGATAAATTAGGAAAACGCAAGACTATCATGGCGAAAGGAGAATAAATTCCATTGAAATTTCGAGAAAATTATGAGATACTTCAAAAGTCCATTAGTTTGAAGCGTCTTATTAGTTTTCTCGATTTTTCTCTATTGGCAATCAGAGATCGAACGAAAGAATGGGCTTTTATTCTAAAAGGGTTTTTCTAGAACCCGCGTCTCTCTTTAACGCGACTTTAAAAATTCCAGAAAACCGCTGTTATTCTTGGAAGATTTATACAAGTTTCAAGGATAAAGCGTAGATAGATTTTTATATACGCAGTAGAGAGAAGTGTAATTTTAGATAGATTAAAGCTCGTTTTCGAGAACCCGGGAGACATGTCTCCGTATCAAAATATTATAGTAATGGTAAGTGGATTATTTCAAACTTGTAGAAACAAACGAGACTGTCGAAACGAAAGGAATTGACAAAAAAAAAAAAAAGAGAGAAATTTTCGTTTTCGTTCTCGTTCGATTTCTGATGCTATGACGCAACAATGAAGTGTTCAAAAACCAGAATGTAAGACTTCACATCAGATTTCTTTGCGAGAGGAGGTAGTAGATTTTTTAGAGATGTTTACAGCAGGACGTTCTCTTTTGTCTTTCTCTCTCACTCTCTCGCATATAGTTTCTCAATGAGACACATTCAATGATTGCTCAGTGATCGAGCTTAAAAGAAGTGGAATTCCTGTGAGCCAAAAGAATTGTAGTAAGACTGTAACTCTAAGAGTATAATTTAAAGGAAAAGACCGCGATGATCGGATGATGTCACAAAAGAAGAAGAAAGAAAAAGAAAGATGTATTTTGCACTTGTTTAGCTTTTTGGGAAAGTAATGCAATGTGCGCGAATAGCATGCGAGTATTAACATTTTTTTAACCTGCTCATTTATCGTTTAAGCAATCGGATCGTATATATGATCATATGACGAATTTACTGCCGTTTTAAGGTGTGCACAAGTCGTTGAAAGATTTTTTTCTAAGAATCTTTGTTCTTGTTTTGTTACGAACTTACATACATAGATATAAATAATATAATCACACTTTTTATGTCTTTGTAAATACGCTCGTTACATGTGTTCCTTGTGGAAAAATCCCACGAATTCGGAAGGATTCGCTAGGATGGAGAGAGGAATTTTAACGTTTTAATTCTAACGCGATAGTATACTCCGAGATATTAAATTTCCACTACGTTTCTGTAATTTTTTAACTTTTCACGATAATATGCTTGTTCGAGGGATGCGCAACATTGCTTTGATACACTTCTGCACTACCTTAATAACAATCTAGTATCAAACTACGACTCACTGACTCACACGTTGTTTCGCACAAAAATCAAATTTCAATTTTCCTATATCATCCATCTCTACCAATATAGATTAACTTCAACCTCGATTTAATTTACTCTTTATCCTCTTCTAACTAAAAAAAGATATAAAAAAAAGTTTAAATCTGGATTAAAATTGATTTACATTGGTAGAAATGGACGTTAAACAGCAAGATAGAAGGGGAAAAAAAAGACACGGATGGATAACTCTATGCGAATCTCAATAGGTATAGTGAAAACCGTAAACGAAAAGATTACACATGGCGTTCCACTTTGGTGGTATCGTTTTTCCGACGACGGACAGACCACGATCGATGACATTTCCTAGTTGAGAAGGAAGTCCGCTTGTATCATTAATTAGAGCGCCGTCGGAAAAACGAGGTGGCCAGGAAGCGCCCGATACCCAGCAGCCTATACGACGCGCGAGGAATTTACGTGCAGCTTCTATGCATCGCGTGCAATAATAAGATTTCAATAATCACTAGCACGTAATTATACACTTAACGTTTAAATAAGACGAGAATAGAACACATTACATATTTTGAATAACGCTATCGTACTAGATGTGGATGAATCTTTGCTACGAGCAACTGGACATTCTAACAACACTGTCGCTGTGGAATGCTGTGTTGTTGTGCATGTTTGCGCAAAATTTTAATGTTAACGTATTCGACGCAGCGGATAAACATTTGATTTTTATTAATGAAAAGTAATATTCGAGCTTAGAGCAGCGCTCTTTTCTCATGAACATGTTGTTTCTGTTGTTACTTTGTTATGCTTCCTCCTGATACTGTAATTAAGAGATATTTCCTAGAGAAAAAAATCATTTTGTTTTCTGATCAATGTTCCTTGAAATTTTTGTATAATTATTGTACGATAATTTATCCTTCCTTTTTTGTATCCCTTTTCTGTATCAATGAGGGACATAATATTTCAATTAAAATTGTATTGCATTTACTCGAAGCACATACATAAGTTTCCAGTTAGCTGCAAAGCGACAAAATACTTTACTGCACGCAGGTTGTATAAAAATTGGTTGTGCGTTGTTACATTGAAGCTTTAAATCAGCTTCTCTTTTTAACACGTTCTTTAATACACACATACATGTGTGTATAAAAATCGTGATATAAGAGTAAGCGGATTGACATTTAGCTTCGTACTATGCACTCTGTGTTGTGAATGGTATATAGATATATATATATATATATACATATAAGAAAATAAATACAATAATTATAATAACGATATGAAAATAATGTATGTATATATATATATATACACACACATATATATATATATATATATACATATATAATATATTTATATAATCGAGACATCATGCTATTTTAGACATAAGTAAAGACAATTTTTTATATATATTACGATTATGCTGAAATCTGATGATAATATTTATCTATATGTCAAGATAGACGATAATATGATGCGATACTACGTTTCGCTTTGCTAATTGACGAATCTCGCCCACGGAAAGTCTCTTTCTAGTGCATCCCTCTTTAATTTGTCACAGAAGAGTCGTATTACGTTTGCCCAAAATGGCAGAAATATAAATCATTTAATATGAGTACGACAACCAAAAAGTTGAACCAAAAATTATTACGTAGATTTTTAACACAATTGCAGATATGAATGAATGTGTGATATATAATAATTATTATCCATGAATATAATTATATTTCATACAGGATTATCGGTTCCTATAGTTGTATAGATAGTTATTATTAATCTAATTTTTTACAACTTTCAAAGCGCGTACGAAGCTATTTGATTTTTTTAATTAATACGACTCTTCAGATTTCCGATATTAGAAATTTTAGGAGTAACCTTTTACTTTTTATCGAACATAATGTTACACCTAATGCCTATAGTGAAAAACTATACTGAATGAAAACTGTTTTCCTCGGTGGCAAAACAGTTTTTTGTGCAATAGTATAATCCAACACAAATTATTCTTATAACTGCTACTAAACTGGTATAAGGATTACGATAACAAACTTTAATATGCATCATGCGTCATGGAATTTCTGCCATTGTACTGTGTGGAGGGAATAGCATATCTACACGCATATACACGACAACATTCGTGTAACGACGGAGATTATTTTTAGCAGCATAGAAAACGCGTCCGCTGGAAATCTTTATCACTATATTAAGCGAGAAACGATCGTGGCATTCTGATGAATGAAGTATTTACATGCAACCGCGCTTTATACATATTTATATAGCAAATATATTTTCTATTCCTTTCTACGGTTAGGATTGTATAAGAAAAAAAAAAAAAAAGTAATCGCCGATAAATATAGATGGACGCGAGCAAAAACTAAGAATCGTAGGAGGAAATATTTGATGACGTAACGAGAGATTATATAATTGAGAGTGTAAACGTGTACCTACAGTAATAATGGCAGATATTTTATATTCATATCATAAACACAGTAATAATCTATAGGCTAATGTAGTAATCCTCGTAGGCGGAACTTTTTATTTGCTTGTAATTTTTAAGGTAAGGTGTTGAAAGAAAGGACAATCCTAAAATCTACAAATCTTTTTACAATGATTTTCAAATCTTTTCTTATTTAATGTTGTTTTAAATTCTTTATATTTTTATGATTCTGTATATAATTAATTAAATTTAACAAATCTATCATTTTAGTAATCTTCTTCTACTTCTACTTTCGTATAGGCTTTTAGAGCCTGTTCTACCTCATATGCCTGTGGTGCGCATGTAGGTGCACAGGCATATTTTAATAATCAATTGCGTATATTTTAACAAGAATTTCCCTTCGTAATCTTTGCCTTTTAAATATATACCTCAGTTCTAAAAAGCCAGTGATAAAAAATTCTAAAAATTATTTATCTATAATATAGAAAAATTTATTTAAAAACTTTTTTCAACTTGGGTCAATATCTTATCGATGCCTTACCTTAAATTTTTTATGTCTTCTTTAGTTCACTGAATCATTTTCAATCTCTTCCGCGAGTAGTTCTCCCCGCTTTTCTAAACTCATTTTATTTCTATTCGTTCACTCGCATATTATCATCACACTGCTTATATACTACACCACCGCATTAGATGTGCGTGCACAATTAATCGTTCTTCTATCAATATATCCTAATTATTCCCGATATACCTCGATGATTAGTGCACTCTTTAACGAAACGTATATATTAAGCAAAGCACAATGCCAATAGAATAGTATGTTTATGGTTGCTAGTGCCACCATGTATCGTCCCCAACATACATATTTGCCTGCCTAATTACATCCCGATGTGCGATGAATATACGTGTGTGGTTGCTACAAAAAAAAGATGAAAAAAAAACGCTACGGCTTCCATGATATACAGAATGTGCCGATAGTTTCATAGCGGATAATTAATGTCGGATACTGAATGTTTTTTTCCTATTATGTAACTCGCGAACTTTTCTGGTTTCCTCTCGTGTTTAGATTATATTTTCTTGCCAAGTATCGCTGACACTGTTTGTTTGAGCTTTTTAAGCATTGTAAAAACAATAGTTGCGAAAAAAAGTGTATTACGGCAAATAACAAAACTATCTATGTCGTGAACGCATAATTTGACCTGATTATCAGTGATTCCTTATGATTAGTCTGACAGATTCAGGATCGGATTTGAGGATACATTTCAAGATAGAGTTATAATTATTTATAATAATAGTAATTAATTATGATTGATTTTAATAATTCTGAGTGATTGTAACGCATCACAATCTTCTAAAGTTTTAAAATTTAATTATTTATAATCGCAATAATTGATTAATCAAAGATGGTTATCGTTATTTTATAATCTATTTCTTTTCTTCTGAAAAAATTTTACAAATTCTTAACTTTTTTGTTTTTCAAAGATCTGTTTCAAAGATCTCGAACTCAATATTTTCTTAGATCTGTAATACAAATAATGAAGGAAAATCCGATCCTCGAATCGATCACAATGTACTCTTTTTATAGCATTTAGACAATAGTTTGTAGCATTTTATTTTAGTACGGCGCTGTGAGATGGATAATAGGGGCCATAAATGACCAAAAAGAATAATTTAACTTTAGTAATTATACTTCGTTGTTACCAAATGTTGTTTTGTTTGCTAGATCTTTTATCTTTATTTCTTGCGTGTACATTCTATATTGCGTTTATGTCTACATTTTCTTTTTAAAATTTGAGAAGGTATATTTATAATTTTACTGTCACAATCCCAGTTAATAATAGTATCGTTAGTGATTAAGTTGTTATTGTTGAATAAAAAAATTTTTCATGCGATATCTTAGAAAATCATGGGTTACTCGATAACGTCTCTGGATAGTTTTATAAAATACGATATCTAATCGAAGATAAAAAAAGAAGATTGTAAAGAAAATTGATAAAAAGAAGTATTGATTTTGTTACTTTATTATCTTTTTCTTTATTAAAACGACAGGAGTGATTTCTCGAATCTTTTTGACGTTGATTGTTTCGCCAATGATTTTCTTGTGTATACACTTAATTAGAAGGCGATGGCAATGAATACATTCCACCAAGTACAAAGATACCTTCTGTCTATAATCTTGATTAAACGGGAATTATATGAAAACGTAATGATATATTTTCTGAATTATATGTTGTTTTTTCAAGCAAAATTTTGTAAGAAAATAATGGTTGTGCTTGAGTGCAAATACCGTCACTATTATCTAGATGACGGATAACATCGTACATAGTCAGGCCCGTGCGAGCCGAGGAGAGCATTACACAGGCACATATCAGCGAGATGTAATGAAAAATTATCGTAATTAGCGCTCTGCACTCTGTATCTTTGTATCGATACCATTTGCGATCATTAGTGTAATACGATGTGTATGTAATATCCGAATGTCATCAAGTTTCCTTTGTTAAAGCGAAATTAAACATTGAATTTCCTACGAAGCGAGTGTCTTTCTTCACTTCTACATAAATGCTAGATTATATCGATATTATTTTCGCGCTGATACAATCATGAAATTCGCCGCTTCCGTATGTACATCCCGTAACGACGCTTTTTAGTAATAATTGTAATAGTTTTTAGTCCACATTCACAGAATGGTTGTCATAAATGGTTGTCTTAATCGCATAAGAAACTTCCAGATTTATTTACAGGATTTATTACATAAAATATTGATACAATAAATGTAATTGTCATTAATAATAACGAGTAGTCGTTATTTTATATGTTAACGTAGGATCGCTTTCGCATCTAAGTTATTTCGAGGCAAGTTGAATTTCTTCTCTTTTCTTGTTTGTTGAAAGAGATTCAAAATGTCTTCAGTATTAACTCTTTTGCACCAACAATCCAGTCGGTTCACCGCAATATTCACTAATTTATATCGTGAGAAGTAAGATTTTCTCGATTTTAGTGCAAAGTTTTTGCATTTCACTGGGTACGGTGTATTCCGCCGCCAGAATAGCGTTTGCTACGGCTATCGTTTCGTGAACCGATCGCGCCTTAATCCATATCCTGCCGTTTAATCCAGCGGCGAGTTCATACGCCTGATTTTGGCCGAGCAGCTTGAACAATGGACACTCCGGATTGAGCAGCTTTCTCACGAGACTTAATGAGCAGGTAAACACCATGCCATCGGAACTCAAGACACCGAGATCATTCTCCTTGCCCTGGGAATCTACGCATACCAATTCCGGTTCCATATCCTTGCTGGCTATCAGCAGTTTAGCATAAACCACGTCACCGATCTGTATGTCAGGTCGATTCTTCTTTGTGGCGCCCTCGAAGGCCAGATAGGATAACGTCGCTTGTTCACTGGCGCCGATATCTACCTTATAAATGTCACCACTTTTCTGCGTTATTATGCCAACCACATTCTCGCCTCGGTTTGGAATATATCTGTAAACAGAAAGAAAGAGGATTTCAAGATAAAACAAAATTTCAATGTATGTATGCATTTCATAGCAATGAAAACAGGATGTCATAATGTTGAGAAAGATCAAGGATGACTTCGATTAAACTTTAATTCATATCTATTTCTATAATGTAGATTAATCTAGACTTAACTTTCTCTTTATCTTCTTTCAAATTTCAGAATTAAAAAAGAATAAGAAATGTAAATTAAATCGAGATTGAAATTATTAGATGGAATGGACAAAAGTTTCAAATTTTTGCTGCAGGCACAGAGCTCAACTATACATGTGCATTCCTTGCATGCAATGCAAAATAGTAAAGGGTTTTGTATTTTATGAATATTAATAAATGTCATAACAGAATCACTACGCTTCTCGTGTCTCAGATTTAGGAAGTTTGCCATGAGGTAACCAGTGTCTTGTCAGAATCGCTTCGAATTCTTAATAGAAAAAACGACACCAGCATGTGTGTCGCTATGTTCAGCGCAGACAATGACATTTAGTACCGTTTCTGATAGGTGTCCACGTAATAGACGGCCGGCTCGCGTTTCCTCAGAACGCCCGCTTTGCAGACGAGTACGGCGTCGCCTTCGCGGCGCAATCCGGGTCCCAGGATCACGATCTCCTTCTCGTTCCTTCCTTCCCTCTTGATCGGTACGTTCCTTAGATTGTCACCCGGCATCACTACATCGCCCACGTTAATCTCCATCTCTATGGGAAAGAGAATTTACTTTTTCTGTCAATTTTTTATTTCATTCATGCAATCTTTTCAACTTCCTTATAGGGGATCTGTCATACAAACATGTTTATATTCTGTATGTCACCTAACCTCAAAACGGCCACGTGCGTTCATGCGCGTTGCAAAGTTGTCGTTAATCTCGGAGTTCATAATCTTTTGATTGGTCAAATGAGGATGTCCCATGTTGAAAATGCAGTCAACTATTTTCGGATTGAACATCTAGATATTCATTCATCATGCCGAGAAGAGAGAGAACAACTGTATTTATCATGCACACACATATATATACACGAATGTGTATACTTGAAACTCTTCTTGCGACGAGATGAATATACGGAAAGATCCGAATGATGTTGGAGCAGATGCTACGAACAAATATGCGTTACGACGTAATCAAGAGATAGACAATCCCTGTTACAAGGTATCTGAACAAATGCCGTGAAAGCAAGTCCGCGTTATAGAAAAACGATTATAAACGATTATCGCTAAAGCGAGCTAAGAGGTAAAGACGCAATTAAAAAAATTAATACGTCTTTTATAACTGAATCAATGTACACTGTAAATACACTGTATATTTATATTTAAAATGAAACAGATAAATATCTGAAGTTTGGCAAAAGCAAGAAAGTTTTAAGTACAGTCCAAAGTAACGATAAGAAACAGAATGTAGTTAATCTAATGTAGCTAAAAGCTACTATAATTAGAGAATTGGCACTTGCATTGTTGTTGTCTAACATTGACGTTTTCTCCATTTTTAGGAGCACCTTTTGTCCTTGAAGTGTCTCGAGGCCAATCAGAAAGAACATAACGAGTGCGAATTGTATTTCCAAAATTATAAGAATTGCAGAAATTTCTGGGTAATCTTTTCAACGCGATTTACGTGTATCTATGTCGATGTGGAATTAGTAATGGGATTATTTCCCTTTGCAGGCTTCTGTGCAGTCTGAGCGCAGGTCAAAAGGCATCAAGCCATATCTGCCACCTTTAGAAGAACGTATCAAGATAAAAGCCAAGTATTTAAATTCTAGATAACAATAGATAATATACACACCTTGCTTTGTAAAAATATTTTTTATTCCATGATATCTTTCAATGTCTCGCAATTATTACATTGTAATGTTATCTATATGTATATAGTTCAGAAAAATTTATATATGTAAGCTATTGAAACATATTAAACTCACATCGGAAAAAAAAATTGATATACTTCAGTTTCGCTATCTAAACTTCTCAGAGCTACAATCTTAACATATTTTATTTCATACATATTTGGAAAACATATTAGTTTGACATATGCAGCAATGAAAGAGTGAGTAAAAATGAAAAAAAAAACTAACTTGTTGCCACAACATTACATTCCATTGTAGCAGAATTTTACATCGCAGTTCACGGAAATTATACACGACATAATCATTCTATACACATATCTTAACATAAATATACACTCGATATATAAACAATAAAGCACTCGTTCCTTTCTTACTTAACGTACACATTATCTTATACTAAATGCAATTTAGAGTACAACTTTATAATCGAAATATATATATGTATGTGAATACCCGCACATGAATTGAACGATTTATACAATTGTTTTTCAAACATTATAAATAAAGAGAGAAAAGGAAAACAAGAGCAAAGAAAACCACGAAAAGAAACGGAAGAAAAAGATACATAAGATACATAAAAGATACAAATAGATACAAATGTTACTATACATTGATAAATAACGTCCGAGAGACGATACATGTCGAAAACGAAGAGGTGCACCTTACTACTCAACGAGTTCGGCAATTCAAAGAAAAAGTATTTGTACACACATTACTGCATAAACTTAATGGGATACACGATGGAGAGAATATTTATGGATGTGCACCGCCGTTCATGGAGATAAAGCAGTGACGCGGATATAACTAAGTATATCACAATACGGTAGCCAAATGAATTCGGACAATTTCGTTATTAACACAGAAAGTAGTGAGTAGACGATTCAGCAGGCACTATTTTTTTTTTAGATATGTGAAGTAAAATAGCGCTATCAAATCTCTGCGAGCAGCATTGACTATTGTATATCGTGTGAACGGCGTGTTCTCATACAGGATCAGTGATTCTAGGAATTCCTTGTTCTTTCAATAAGTGTTTATCATGATAACTCCTCGTAATCAATCAGTTCTAACAAAAAGTTCGTACGTGCATGTGTGTGTCAGATCTCTTCTCCCTGTTTGCTTTCTCGTGTCGGTTTTAATCAACCTTTCTTTTTTTTTTTACACTTGTCTCTTCGTTCTTAACATGTATCGTCGGCAAGTAGTCATTCGGAATGATCTTTTATGGAGAACGTCTGAATACGGAAGTGGCGGCACATTTGACGTACCTGTAATTACAAAATTGATGACATGATTAAAAGCGCTTTATAAATTTAATTATAAATAATTGTTATGACTCATTGCTCCATTATATATAACATTCATACTATTCTGATTATGATGAGATATTTATAATTAATAATTATAAATGTCTCATTATGTATAATCAGAAAAGTATGAATGTTATATAATTCATAATTACAATCGTAACGTTTCATTAAAACTGACCACGCACGTCCCGTAATGGATATGTGCCAGTAAGGCTACAATAGAGACTAAATACATGAATTCCAAGTCCACACTGGGCGAGATAAACGAGAAAACAGCGGCCACTGCGATTGGCAATAATATCCACGGTAATACCTCGCATCTAGTATTACTCATCTGGGATACAATTAATCGACACTGCAATATGATCATAAATATGGTAATAACATGATTAATAGAGAATCATTACGTTACATATGTACATCTTACACATATATTGGAAAAAATAGTGCCAATGGCAAAATATATTATTCTCGGATCCTTTTCTAGAATATTATTCGGAGAGTGCATTATCCATATTGTGGAAATTGCAAAGAATAAAACTAAAGGCACCAAGGGCCTTATAGCCTCTGGAAATGTTCGCATTTTACCGGTTTTATCTCTATACGATCTGCAAAATATAAAATTAATAATTCTTCTGATATCATAACGGTTACAAAAATTAAAACAGTAAGACAGTACTCACTTATATATATTCCACAGTACAACTGGTAAATTGGATACCAACGCACTAACGTAAAATAACATTTCAAACATCATTCCCGCCGATATGCCGCCTGGCAATTCGAATTTCCAGGCTTCATGTCCACCTATGCTGGTAAGAGTAAACACAATGACAGTTGCCTATAAAAATCAAGTATGTTCATGTAAATCCTCCGGTGCATGGACAAAATAAAAAACGTTTTAGTCAATTAGCAAAGTCGAAATATGTATTTCTTAAATTGTAATTTAAAAATCATGATGTTTTAGCAGACTTACTAGCATGGAAGCATCATATCCCCAGGGGAGAAACAGCACACCTGTGTTGTACTTCTCCCAATGGCTCAGATAGAAATTAATAAATACATTCCATAATATAAAGTACATTCGTAGTGGCGAGACGCTATGATCTGTTCTGCCAAAGACTGAATACATACACACTGTGATCAGCATAGCAGTCCAACTATCTAAACCATGATCAAATAATTCTCCTAAGGGACCAGATGTTTGCGTGCGTCTTGCCTGCTTTCCATCTATCCCATCTGTAATATAACATGGTTATAAATGAACTTCATTTATATGATATCTCATGGAAACTTATATCACTAATATGTATATCTTTTTTCAAAAAAAATTCATTCAATAACCATTATTTAATTTAAATCACGGATTGTTTGATTCTAATACAATAGACTTCATAATTCATAAAATATCTGAATGATCTATGTATCTCTATACTAATTATAATTTCTATATGTTAATCTTAAATCTATAAATCAAGCATCAAATACACGTACCAAGCGTATATGCCATAAAAATGTTAAAAGCAGCCATGGCAAAGACCCATCGTGATATTGGAGGGTATTCTGGCTTGTCATCACTGGACGCATAGAAATAGTAGTCATAAATCGCGAATAACATAAAGTTTAGCACGGTAAAAAGGAATCCCAAGAAAGTTAGTACGTTTGGAGCAATCCACTTTGGACAAAACTAAAACAAGACGATCAACATATAATAAATATAATAAACACTATAAATATTCTGTTCTACTGCTGTAAAGATACTTCATGGATAAAAATAATTTGTATTAATATATTAATAGTTACTCTGCCATCAAAATAGAGACTGTACCTGTACCACTTTGTTCCAAAAAGGGTGCATAACATACACACTCAGGGGACTTGTATCCAACGAGCTATACTGAAATCAGAATATTCATAAATGAGTGGAGCAATAAAACATTGCACGACATATCTTTGCGCGTTCGATTATTCGAACAACCTTTTATTTTTATACATATTAAAAAACATAACTATTTCTTTTAAAATATATTCATCATAAGTTGAATATCAAGTTATGAAAAATATTCGTCTGTGCGATGGTGAATATCATGTATATTCATTTATGTAATTTACTATTACAATTTTATATAAACGATGCGAACGATTTAATATTTTCGTAATTTTTTTCTATGCACGCAAAAGATATAAAAATTTAAATCAGATGCCCACCTTGTAACTCTCGAACCCCGTGAGATGCTCCTCCGTCAAGTATTCCACCTCGAATCCGAACTTGCGATACATTCTGGAATTTCGGGAATCCAACTGCGCTTTGATCCGACGTTCGTTCCGAAGATTAACCGCGCGACTTGTCGATTTAGCCGAGACGACGAGCGTGAGATATCGAGCGATAGATCCTGGTTTTTACACAAGAATCTCTTTTCCCTCTTTTCCCTTACTCGTACCACGCGTAAAACGATCGTCTATTATGTCGATTCATCGTGGCGTTGTGCAAGTTGTACCACGAGTACATACGAGGCGATGTTTAACGTCGGTTCGCGTTGAATGCAACGCACCACACAGACGCTGGAGACTACGCACAGAAACCCCGCATGTCCGACCCGACCGCACCGTCGTCGCCCAGCCGTCGCACGTCACCTCGCGACTCAACACGACGGATTACGCGAGTATTGCGTGTTCACGCGTATCGGACGATCCCCGACCCATCACCCATTGTCGCCCCCAACCAGCATACACGCCAATGCACGCGTGCCTTTGAAAGAGAGAGATAAACGCACGCGCGCGCGATGCCGGCTAATCCCGTTTCGTCCCTCCCGTCCGGCCCATCGGCGATCATTCACGAACTCGCTGTTTAATCGACCGAATGATTTATTATATTAAACGACAAGATATTATCAACTCTCTGTCGGCAAATCAAGAATTAATCACCCATCGGCGAGAACTGGAGAATTGAAGGCATAGATTTTTATTGTAAATTTTAAGTAGACAAAAAATATGGGATTCTAATCTCTCTAACTAAAAAAGTTTTATATATCTAATATAATTCTGTATGTTGACTAGTTATATATACCCAGTACTTAAAAAGATTCAATTTAAATTATCCAAATATGACCGTTAAATTTCTTCTTAATTATATTTAAAAATTCTTTTAAAAATTATGAAATACACACAGATTTTGTGCAAAAATTAATAATGTTTAATTAATTTATATCAAAGTTTAAAAAAAAATATTTAAAAAATCGTTAATTGCTTCATATAAATAACATTCTAGAAAGATTTCTAATGTACCGTTAAAAATAATAAGTTTCTTTCATGTTGTTTATTTTTAAATTAATATTATGTTATATTCGATAAAAATTCGAAAATTTGAAAGAATACATGACAAGTAATTAAATGAAGATAGCTTATAATTTTATTGTTTCAGTCAATCGCTGATAAGTCAATTAATCAGAGTTATTTCATATTTATCTAAACTACAAGCTATATTTTTTTTATAAAAGACAAATCGTCTTTCTGGGGGGGCGTGAAGTATTCCATCTCATGAAAAATCAATTGTTCGATTTCTATTTCAGTAATAGTTTTTGCAATTTCTGGTGTTATACATTGATCATTTCTTTGTGTCTCTGAAGCTGCGTGAAAGAGTAATTTTTCCGTGTTACATCTGAAAAACAATATCAGCTCATCAACCGATGGTCACATTAAATGTTTGAGATAATGTCTAAATTAAAGTGTACCTGAAATTCACATCAATATCGTTACGTCCAACGATCGGAGTAATCTGTGGAGTACAAGTTGTCGAGGCATGACGACTGTGAACGGAAGCAATTTGTTCAGACTGCTGCAGTTTCTGCGGTGCAACGCACGAAACTTTGCTTTCCTCCACAGATTTTTTAAATCGTTTTATCAAATTTTGATCTTCGTCGCTAAAGGCACACTTCTTTTTTCTTGATAAATATGATTTGCTTTGCAAATCTCGTATGCTATAATTTTCCTTATTCTGCCTGTTTGTAAGCAAATATAGATCTGAGTATGATGATGACAAAAATAATTATATATCTATGCAAATTAATTGTTATTCAATATACATATAATTTTTATCAATAATCATTTTCATATTTGAAATGAACTGTTCATCGTCATCTTCCGGCTCTTCTACATGAGTGACGTTAGATTGCTTTTGTTTTAAACTATTTCTATATATATAATCTGAGCTTATTTCTCCTGTATAGAAATAAAAGATTTATATTTAAGATATCTTGATAAAAAAATTGTTTGTAACTGCAATATAAAATAATTTACCTGTCATGGAAAGTGAAATATTTTTGTAATCGGTATTATTATTCTGATTATTTTCCTCATTATTTTTTGTCTTCGTTGAAGTAGATTGAGATATTTTGTAATTTTGATTATTATTACTTAAAAATTGTGGAACCAGGGGTCTTCTATTTATTTCTCTATCACAAATGTTTTTATCCATTTATACCTAAGTAATTTACAAATAAAAAGTCTTGCAAAATACATTGAAACGAAAACATTTTTTAACAAAGTACTTGCAATCGACAGAAGACTTATAAATAATTACACAAAAAAATTGAAATTTGCAGATAAATATAAATTTGTATTATCCTAAATCTTCATTTTGTTCTTAAAAAGAATTCAACAATATAAAAAATTAAGATAAAAGCTTATTCGAATATTCTATGAAGGCTTACGCTTTAATTTCTACGCGCTATTAACTCAAATTGCTTTTCTATTCTAAACCATTGATTACATCAGATTAGGTTACAATTAGAGTTACGTATTGGCTGCATTAGAAATATTTATTTTACAGCTACTCTAAGCTTCCCATGCCGCAATTGGATTATTCCTCTGGATCTGGAAATATAATCCAATCGGCGCGAGGCGCTTATGAAGCTGTGCTTTTTCTGCTGATCATTCGAAATAATCATGCCGTGCCGTGTAGTGTCGTAACCTTGTTCTCGCTTTTTTTCTCAAAAAATCAACCAGAGTTATTAAGTACTTTTCATGACAAACCGGAAGTTCAGTTATATACGTGCCACGTAATCTATATTTCTGTTTTTGGGTGAATTCAAAGAAAAGCTCTTTTTTTTCTCTTTTGGCGCGGGAGCGGCAGGACGAGATAGAGTTTATGAGGATTCGCGACGATCTCGAAGGACCATGCGATTTATGACAACGGTGAATGCTAAGTTGTTGCCGGTTCTGCGGCAGCGCGGAGCGATCGTGCGTTCCTTCCGCAGCGAGCGGTCGGCACCTGATCGCCACGGATCATCGCCAACCTGTCTCCATGCCAGACCGCGGCTGGCACGAACGGAATATCAAGGTGATAGGTCAGGATTACTGAGAAATGCCTACTCTCGTCGGATTCATCCCGCGGTGGTGTCGGCGAGATTCTTTGCGACGATAAAGTACGTCGATCTCGAGATTTCTCAAACTGGGTTTACTCGGATCTGTCAATTTCTGCACGTTTTTCTTATTTTGCCTGACTTTCCCTGATTCGTATAATTTTCTTTTCCTTCAGTTGATTATGAAATTATCAAACTTACTTTTTCTGTAAATTATTTATTTTGTAATACAATAATAAGAAATTCTCTTATAAAAATTGTTTGCTTTCTTCGTTCTTGTTTATTTATTATTTTCCATACTGATACTTTTATATATATTGAAAAAGTAGCCGAATGATTCTGTCTAATGTTATCTATGACAAAACACAATTCCTTATTTTATATTTACATTGTTTACAGTGATGGTAATGGAGAACAATCTGGTGATTATCCTGCTTCTTTACCAGCAACTGTAGTAGTACCTGAAGTATGGCCTCATGTGCCAGTAATTGCTATCAATAGAAATCCAGTATTTCCCAGATTCATTAAACTTATTGAAATTAGTAATCCAATTCTGATAGATCTAATACGTAGAAAGATAAAGCTAAATCAGCCTTATGTGGGAGTTTTCTTAAAGAAAACTGAAGAGTAAGTTTTTTCAAATTGTTAATCTTGCACTGAGATAAATGATGCTGAAATTATATAAATATTACATATAATACGCAAATAATAATACAAATTTATAATATTTATTTGTATAGAAATGAAGCTGAGATCGTTCAAAATTTGGATGACATTTATTCAATTGGAACTTTTGCTCAAGTACATGAGATACAGGATCTGGGAAATCGGTTGAGATTGGTGATCATGGCACACAGAAGAATCAAGATTGTTAATCAAATGTTTGAGGATCTTAATCCAAAATCAGAACATAGTAAGAAATATATTTAATTATGACATTTTCATGTTAGTTGAAATGAAATCGCGTTTTATAAATATCTCTTTAATATCTAGTTAATGTTAATTGATTAAAATGGTTTTCTTGTTCAATTTGATATGGTCCTGTTCTTTGTTGTTCCGTTTAAATATTGCCTACTTTATACAGAGATGAAACTGACGTTTCCACTATTAAATACTACAATTACCGTTCCTGTAGACGACACAATGACCAGCGGCAAACTAAATCGGAGATCATTGCGTAAAAAGACAGAGTCTAAAGTTACAGATCGAATTGAAAAAACGGAAAAAGTTAGTGAAACTGACCGTATGGAAATAAAATCAACAGATTTGCATGAGAAGAGTACAGAAAAACCATTAGATTCATCAAACCCTCACTTCACTAATCAACCTGTATTAATGGTGGAAGTTGTAAATGTGACCCATGAAAAATTTAAGCAAACTGAAGAGATCAAGGTATTCAGGCTCATATCATAATACAAAAAATAATACAGTCAATTTTCATTTTTTCATAGCTCACTATTTAGCAAGTGTTTTAAAACAAGTTATTATATATTGATTTCGCAGATGTTAGATATTAGTAATAAAATTAAAATTAGATTAACTTTTATAAAAAAATGTATAAAATTAATGAACAAAAAGTTTATTATTTAAATATACTTTTTTATTATTCAGAAAATTTATATTTCATGTTATTATTGCAATGCCAAAACCTGAAGTATTTTTAAACAGGCGTTGACGCAAGAACTCATTAAAACAATCCGAGATATAATCAGCATGAATCCTTTGTATCGCGAATCTTTGCAACAAATGCTGCATCAAGGACAAAGAGTTGTGGATAATCCAGTTTACCTCAGTGATTTGGGAGCTGCTTTAACTGGAGCAGATCCGCAGGAATTGCAACAGGTTTTAGAAGAAATGGATGTACGTGCATTCTTATTATTGTATCATGCATAAATTTTCTATATGTCTAAAAAATATTAAAATATTAAAGTATTATTTTATTCATAGATAAAATACTAAAATACTAAAGTATTATTTTATTCATAGATATTAAAACGATTAAGGTTGTCGCTTGCGCTTTTAAAAAAAGAATATGAATTAAGTAAGCTACAGCAGAAAATTGGTAGAGAGGTTGAGGAGAAAGTAAAACAGCAACATAGAAAATATATTTTACACGAACAATTAAAAGTTATTAAAAAAGAACTAGGGTTAGAGAAAGATGATAAAGATGCAATAGAAGAAAAGTATAGAGAAAAAATAAGGCAAAAAACAGTTCCTAAACCGGTGATGGACGTATTGGAAGAAGAATTGAATAAACTTTCCTTTTTAGAAAGCCATAGTAGCGAATTCAAGTATGTATTAAATATAATAATAAATATATTATATATGTCAATAATTTATGTTAAAATTTTATATGAATTTTATATTTAGTGTTACGAGAAATTATCTAGACTGGCTTACGTCTATGCCATGGGGTGTGACAAGTACAGAGAATTTAAATCTTCAAGATGCTATCAAAATTTTGGACGAAGATCACTATGGAATGGAAGATATAAAAAAAAGAATACTTGGTACAAATTGGTGCATTTCTATAATTTAAATAATAATGTTTCTTATTATAGATTATAATTTTCGTTACAGAATTTATTGCCGTTAGTCAACTAAAAGGTAGTACACAAGGAAAAATATTATGTTTCTACGGGCCTCCTGGAGTCGGCAAAACTTCAATAGCTAGATCGACTTTCTCGTGCTTTGAATAGGGAATATTTTAGATTTAGTGTCGGCGGAATGACGGATGTGGCAGAGATTAAAGGACACAGAAGAACATACGTAGGAGCTATGCCAGGCAAAGTCATTCAATGCTTGAAAAAGACCAAAACCGAGAATCCATTGATTCTGATAGATGAAGTCGATAAAATTGGCAAGTACGTAATCTTTGTTAACGTTGTATTATATATAAAAAGTATATATCGCAGAGTATGAGAAAAAATATTGTAAGATAATAAATCTAGAAAGCGTTTAATCCATATCTAGAGAATATTTGAAAAATTAAAATTTTGTTGCATTTTTATAATGTTCTTCGGATTTTTATATCATCTGTAATATTTTAGGGGTCATCAAGGAGATCCAGCATCTGCTCTTCTCGAAATGCTCGATCCAGAACAGAACGCGAATTTCCTGGATCACTATTTAGATGTTCCAGTAGATTTATCGAAAGTCCTATTTATTTGCACGGCAAATATAATAGACACAATTCCGGAACCTCTGAGAGATCGGATGGAGATGATAGATATGTCTGGTTATGTAGCCGAAGAAAAACTCGCTATCGCGAAACAATATTTGGTTCCACAAGCTAGAACCGAATGCGGTCTCGGCAATCAGCAGGTCAGCATACAAGACAATGCGCTTGTATCGTTAATTAAATCTTATTGCCGAGAATCAGGAGTGAGAAGCCTACAGAAACATATAGAGAAGGTGCACAGGAAAGTGGCGTTTAAAGTTGTTAAGAAAGAAGCCAACAAAATCGATGTCACCGCGGATAACTTGCAAGACTTTGTGGGCAAGCCTGTATTCACGCATGACAGGCTGTATGATATTACGCCTCCCGGCGTGGTAATGGGACTGGCATGGACGGCCATGGGTGGATCCACGCTATTTATCGAAAGTACCATTAGAAAGCCGACAGGCGGCAAAAAAGCCGAAGGAACTTTTGAAGTTACTGGCCATCTAGGTGACGTGATGAAAGAATCTATACATATCGCGATGACTGTAGCGAGAAATTATCTGAAACAGGAGGATTCTTCGAACACATTTTTATATGATTCTCATTTACACATACATGTGCCTGAAGGAGCAACCCCAAAAGATGGACCTAGCGCAGGTGTGACAATTGCTACTGCATTGTTGTCTTTGGCTAAAAATAAAGCTATCAGGCAGAACGTAGCGATGACAGGAGAATTGAGTCTTATGGGCAAGGTACTTCCTGTTGGTGGTATAAAGGAAAAAGTTATTGCAGTAAGTATAATTTGTATTAATTTTAATTCACTGATTCAATTCACTGAATAACATCTACTGAAATCTTTATATATAGCTGTTCAATTCGTACCTTTCATATTTGTGCACAATCTTAATTATAATAAACTTACATATATCGAGGTTTATTTACGAGGTTTAATATACTATTAAATTAATATATAGTATAAAAAATTAGTATAAAAAAATTTATATATATCAGTTTTCATTTATTATTATAAATTTATGTAATATCTATTATAGCATTATGAAATCATATTTTGTTCTAATTTTAAAGTACAATATTGATAAACATATTTTTATTTTTAGGCAAAACGAGTAGATGTTAAATGCATAATTTTACCCGAGGAGAATAAGAGAGATTTCAATGATTTACCTAAATATATAACAGATGGTTTGGAAGTGCATTTTGCTTCGACATTCGATGATGTTTATCGTATATGTTTTGCAAAAACAGATAAGGACTCTCTGCGATCTGCTAAGTCAATCACTGATCACGCTGATCAGTCACAACCAACATTTGCATAATATATAGAGTGATCTTTTTCAAAAAAAGAAGAGTAATAATATGAGAAATGATAATAGGAAATCATTCCGAATTAGCCATATATTGTATATATTTTTTCTTCATTATACTTTTGATTAACATTGGCATTATTGATCTTTTTCCCTGAATTATTCTATATACAATATATTGAATAGTAAATGCAAAAAAATACATTGCTGATCAAATACGTCATCTCATTTGTTTTTTTATAAGTTTTATATAAGTATGAAAAAGCAATTTACATATATTATTTAAAAACATATTTAAATGAAAATAACATCTTTATATTGGTAACAATTCAAATTGAACTTCTTGAAGTCTTATCCAAATTAAGAATATTTTTGTATTAATTCGAGTCTTAACAAAAATATTTGATACATTTTAAAAATATTCTATTTGTAAATAAATGTAATTCAATGAATAATTAAGAAATTGTTTTGTAGAAATACAATTATTTTATATAAACAATATATGTACATATAATTATGCAAAATAAGTTGTATTTAAAAGAAAATGTTCACTTTCTGTTATCTTCTGTTAAAAAGGAAAGATCTTTTTGTTATCATTTTGTCAAAATGTTTATTATACTTTTAATATCATTATAATGTTACAATACATAAATGCAAAAATATAAAGAATATTTTCATTTTTCTCGGGATCTATCTTATGTACTTCATGTTAATTTTTTTCTACTGTAATTCATGTATGATATTATGTATCTATTAAATATATTTCTATTTTGAAAAAATTATATACTGATTTCTTATTTAGAAATTTAAATCTTAATAATAATTGTTAATACAAGATATATAAAATTATAGACTACAGTTAAAATATGGATATTTTAAAAATTATTTTATAAGTTTAAATTTTTAGTCTTCAATAAATAGACAGCCTTAAAAAATGCTAAATAATAAATAGTAATTATAATAATAATAAAATAATGTAATTGTTATCCATAAGATTAGAAATAAATAAAAATTTAATATAAACATAAAAGAAAATTTTATATTTATATCACGTTGGTACATCCATCTTACTGAGTCTAATTATAAAGTCACATAGTCTCATTTGCACTTGAATTTCTACTGGATTATTTGTTACATAGAATCCAGGTACACCAGCCTTTTCCAATGTACTTTGCTGGTCAGCAACCTTTTGATCTAATTGTAATACCAATTTCATATCCATCTGCTTTAACTCTTCCTTGTGCTTCTTATGCAGTGCTGCCTTTATCGAGGTCAATTCTTCATCTGTCATTGTTGCTGATAATGCTTCCTGACATTCAATTTTCTGTTGATTCAAAAGCTGAAGTCGCTGTTGGAAGAGATGTTTCTCAGTGACATGTTGTATCTCCATCAATCCTTTAACTATCTCAAAGATAGTATCGTTTAACAAGGAGTTTGCCAAACCGGACAATAATTCATACGGTAATCGCATCTGATACTTTGGTGGCAATTCTCCAGCCATGTGCTGCAATTGTTCCACCAGAAAGTAAAGTTTTCTCTGTAGATCTTGAGGAGTAGGACTGGCGATATCCATATTCTTTCTCGACAGAAATTATGTTGCTATATGTTGAATTTTCTTGACAACAATCGTAACATCTGTTTTCAACAGTATATTTTTCACAATATCATTTTAACATAATTTACAATATCAAACTTCGTTATTAATAAGGACTAAGAAAATAAGATACTTTTAATAAGATTATTGTTAATAAGATTACTGATACTTTTAATAAGATTAATAAGATTACTTTCCTTTTGTTGAAATGTTCTTACGCAAAATAAATAAAGAATAATTGTATAATATTCGAAATATCGTTTCACTTGCTATTCCTCGTGTATATCTCTAAACTCGTGTATAACTCTAGTTAACTTGACATTCAACAACATTATACGGCTACTATTAGTGGCCCCTGCACACAGGCATGTCAAATTTGGGAAGTGCAAAGTGCAAGTGCAGGAGCAGATCAATTGGTCAGTTAAATCTAGTTACATACTGAAATTTTTGATAGATAGTCCACCGGAAATTTTCTATGCGCTGACTGACGTGACGAGTCCATTGAGACGCTTTCTACTCAGATTATATATGTAATGTGAACTCTCCTTAATGGAGAAGTGAAATTGCTCATCATAAGAAATTATATGCCTGGGTGTTTGTCATATGCTTCCCGACACTTGACGATTTTGCGGAATCCACGGTATTCAAGGAAATTGAGAAACAGCAAAACTGAGGATGTTTGCGATTCAAAGCGGATTAAGACTTACGCCCCGTTTGACGGGTGCTGTTACGAGGACGTATAGTAATACAATCGTCAGCGCACCACCTGAAGTAAAAATATCGTCGGCCGTAAGTAATTTCGCCGTGTCAAATTTCTATGTTGAATTACGTAAAAGGGAGATACGCAATTAACCTATAGAATAAAATATAGAATTATGTTGTAAAATTTATAGCATTTTTGTATACTCACTTTAAAACAGAAGTTTCAAAAAAGATATTAAATTGTAGAAAATTATCTTTTTTTATGTTTCATTACGAGAAAAGTTTCTTTTATTGAAAAAAGGTATGCTAAAGATGGCATTTAAGGATACAGATAAAATTGATAGAAAATTCAGTGCAACAATAAATGTTTCTTGTCACAGAATTCTATATTTGAATATAAAATGGATATAGGTTAATGATGAATTTTGATATAGATTAATTTTTTATGTCTATTAACAAAGAATGAATTTTTATGTTACAGGAAAAAATATTTTCATTTTTTGGTATAGCTGGAGCGATACTGTTCTGGCCCATGTACATGGCTCCTAATTTCAAAAATTATGCTGAAAAGAAATAAGAATTAAATTTTTAATTTAGGAGTCTTTGAAGAGCATTATCTTAGATTGAAAGTTACGTAAAGATATGTTATTTATACCATATATTATTTATAGCATATCCAATAGTATTGATGAATCTGTTGGAAATATATTGGGATCATCAATAAATATGTAAAGATAATTATTTATGTAATTTGTTATTTTAAAATAGATCATATTATTCAATTGTAATCTTTCTTAAAATGAATGTTAGGATTCCTTTTAAATTTATTCTTATTAAAATTCCTATCCTTTTATGTAGAATGGACAGTTGATTGAAAAGTAACCAAAATAATGGTGACTTAGTAATTGATGTTATTTCATTCATAGATAATATACTTCAATTTTGTGAAAGAAGATATCTTAATTTACAGATTTAATATAATTTTATAATAAAATTTAGAAGTCATTTTTAATTATTAATTAAAATCCTATATAAATGCTTTTATTGAAGAAAAATAACTCAAAGTTAATTAGAATCTATTATTAATTTAAGAAAAGATTTATTTATGTGTGTCTTAAGTTTATATTGCTAATTAATTTTTAAAATATGTACAATAGCATTAACTTATAATTTTTTAAATGATATGAAAATGATTATTTTAATAATTTTTTTTATATATTTCCTTGTAAGAGATTGAAGAGCAATCGTAACAATATGTTTTGTTAAAAGTAGTCATATTTACAAAAATGTATTTATTTATGAAATGAATTTATAAATGTATGTATTTTTTTAATGAAAATCGCGAACCGCTGTTGAATTATATATTTGTATTCATAATTTTGATTGCCTTGCAAAGAAAAAACTCAACAGTTTTGTCATAAAGATTAATCGGATTCACTTATATTTATCTGTCGATCAAATTGTTATTTTTGGCACATTGCATTCAATAATAAAAAAAATACAATTTTATGAGAATTAAAAATAAAACAATTCGATGTTTAATGATGAATATGTAGCAAACTTTTGCGAAACTTGTTAAAATATGCTTTGTTAAAATATGCTTTCCAAAAAATTTATGATATATTTTACTGAGATCTCACTTCTTGTACATGTGATTACACAAAATTGATTTTATTTGCTGCTTCTCGTTATCGCCCTGTTTAGTAAAAATAATTGCTATCCATAAAAAATTATCTGAATACTATATATCATAATTATTTTTTAAATTGCGATCGTCTTAAGAAATAAAAAGAAGTTATGACCATTAGGTGAATTTCGATGTCCACGAAGTAGGAATAAATATACTCGTTTTCTTTATAATACTACATAGCTTTTTATACATTTCTGTCAATATTCATATGTGAACATTGAATAGGGACATACTGCGAATTCCGGCTGGTGTTTACATTACAATTACACAAAGAATGTCGATTACATTCTTAACGCGTCTGTCGCTGTAAATTTTCTTGTTTCTTTTCTTCCTTTTTGGATTGAACGTCACTGGTGGTCTTTGTACCTCGCGTTCCTTAATTATACGGTCTACAAACTATGAGAGGAAGAAGAATCTGATCTGTTTATAGGCGAGAAAGGTCGTATTCAAAATAGCAATCATGAAATTTCGTACTCGGACAGCGATCTGACGTTATTTTTCATCGAAATGACGACAAATAATGTCAACTTGCTATCTATGTAATCTTTTCTTATAGCGTATGTGGGATTAGTAAAATGACTCGTATATAACAGAAGTACAATTGTTACATAAAAGTAATATCCATAAGTTGTAACTTTTTGCTCGTTGATATCTCATGAATATGACGTGGTTTATAGTCAACAATAGTTAAATACAGAATATTCAATAGATGTAATAATAGATGAAGACATATGTTATTGAAAATTGAAAATTGCTTTTTAATGAAATTGATGTATCAATATTTAAAAGTATAACACATAGGTAAAAAGAATTTTATTCTCTCTCCAGCTGAAATATTAGATTGCTTTAAAACAATTTTAAACAATCTTTTAATCTTTTTACAGGATGCAATTATATTTAAGAAAGATAAATTAATTCATTTTTTCACGTGAAATATTGTTCTATTCGTCAACTATCTATTACCAAACATTCTGTATATAATCGTAATATAGCATTATATAGGGCGTTTATATTTCTTTTTTAATATACTTTGCATCTGTGATGAAGTTTGATATTTCCCAAATCTTTATTGTTCTCTTCCTCGTCGTTAATGTCGATCAATAACTATGGAAGATAGCAAATCAATCAAATAAACTGATATTAATTATAGTTATATAGTTACAAACATATTCTATTCACGAAATTCATTCAATTTTACATCATATCGAATCTAATAATATTGGTAGCCAATATGTTAATTTTACGTTTTGTTTTACTAATTGTAAGAATCCTGCCAATTTAGGAGACAATTTAAAAATGTCTTATCAAAAAGTAAAACAACTGACATGATATCATTATTGATATTAATATTCCCTTGCTTTCGTAAGAAAAAATTGTGAATTCTTTTGTCGAGGAGAAAACCAAATTAAAATAGAATTTTTTTTAGCTCAAAATCACTTCGTACGAATTCTTATAGAATAAAATTTTGATATGAAATATAAAGAAATGTATATTCTTCGTATATTAGGATGTATATTCTAACAATATCATCCTATTTTTTCATATTTCTCATTTGATCAACAAAAAAATTGATCGTGTGTAGTCTATAATATACCATAAGTTAATCTCTTTATTTATCACGGCTCGATTAATCATCCATTTTCATTAACTTCAAAAGTATAATATATAATTATCGGCTAATTGAGATCATACTTGTAAGATAATCTCATTACGGAATGTATCGTAATAATCAATACGAGAAGCTAACAATAAATATACATACATACATACACACATACATACATGTGTGTTTTTTTTCAAATCAACGATCAGATGTTGTATTGTTCAACTTGCTTCTAGTTAATGCCTTTATATAAGAAATATATTTATATTTCTTATATGTATTATTAATCTTTATTATTGCGCGTTGTGCACATGTGTTTCTTTGAGATAATTTTATCTAAGTATAGATGATTTAGATTCCGATTATTAAAAAAAAGTATCAGTAATCGTGAAAAATGTTTTTTTTTTTTCCAATATATTTCGATTCTTGAGATCATCATTTCTTCCTTATCATTCAACATTTGAAAATGACATCGCAGTGAGAAGAGTTACAAGGTAAATTTATTACAGAAGCTTTTATGTTTGTAACAATAATTTGAAATTAATTTCACCATAAAGTGACAAACGCGATAGAAAATCCAGATGCAGTGAGGGTGATCTTTCCTTTCCTTCCCTCTCTTTTTCTCTCTCTTTCTTACAGTTCGTGTATGAATGCAACATTGAACAGTAGCCTATTTATAATCTCGGATGCGGCTTAATTGCACGTGAAATGAATACAAAGCAACTGATTTTTAAGAATACTTTTTAACTTTTCATTACATCTTTTTTTTAATAGTACATTCACGATAGGACTAATAAAGTCTTCTTCATTCTTCATGCGCATTTTCCATAAACTCACAACATACCGGTTGTAGCTTTTTTCTTTTCTCTCTTTTTTCTTTCTCACATTTTCACTTTCACTCTTTCTTTCTCTCTTTCATTCACACTCCCTCTCTCTCTTTCTCTCTGTCTCGCGAATCTTAAAATCTTACGAACTAAACAATTTGTTTCCCTATATAAACAGCATTTTATAGATAATCTACATCTTACGATCTTACAATAAAAAATACGAATCATGGGCGCAGGGCTTGGACAAAAAGTAATGACGTCTTCAAGGTATTTGTTCATTAA